GTTTTATGGAATCTCAAGTAAAGTCTTTAGCCACGACAGCTTTGAAGCTGACATTCTGTGTTTTATCGAGCTGATGATCTTCGGCGTTATCTAATATCTGGCCTTGAAACTGATGATTTATGTATGATTATAAGGTTTAATGATGGATCAGCGATGCTGTACAGGTTTGTATGTTTAACCACGTGGCAATCATTTTAACCGTATCTCTAGCGCGGTATGGGGATCTTCTTGGTGCCCTGTTTCAGATCAGTTTATGAGAGGACCTTGGCTTACCGAGAGCAGAGCTTTTCTCGGTCATATTTAAGAACTTTTGTCACTCGTAATGGAGAGACAGTATTCCAAAATTAAGCGAGGAGACCAAGATCTGACTATTTAACGTAAGCATAGATTCGTCTGAGGCTAAACTAATTCTGAAAACGAGTTTGTGCCAGTTAACAATGTCTGACTTATTGAAAGTAATACCTCTGACATTTTAGGTTCTAACTGTTTCAGCAACAGTTATTTTCGCCAATGTGCATTTGACCTAGGTATCCGCGATTATCTTATTCTATCATTTCCTTCAAAATGCTATTTTGAGTTTTTATGAAAACGTATTTGGATGGATGGGGTTGTTAGGCTGTGAGAGATTTTCGGACATCGTCTTTAATTATAAACTACTGCAGTCGTAAACGTTTCCATCGCTAGTCATTTGTCTTATATTACCTGCTTGTTAAAATGAGTAACGAAGAATCATACACGTTAAACATTGACAACAGTCTACCTACTTGGTTAGACGAACGCGCTGGTCGATTTTTCTGTTCTTTCGTATGACTCTTGACAAAACAGTGTTCAAGTTCAATGTTTAAACTTGAAAGACCCTGGTGAGCAATTCGATACTTTATGTATTTTTTAGTATCACTGTTCAGTTAATAGAACGAATATTTCAAGATAAGATAGTCAATATATCGACTATTTGCTGCATAACCGCATTTATCCTGAACTTCCATCTATGCAGATTATAGAGAAAAAGCATAAAATAGTTTATTTACACACAACGCAAACACTATAATCAATCAAATGATTAAGCAGTGCTGTTGGGTCTCACGCGTTTTCTGCAAAGTAGGTATTAATAGTTGGTTAATTGATTTGGGAAAGTTTATTTGTCGTTCGCAGCGATTGGAATGTGTCGAATCAGAAAGCTTGCCCTTCCCAACCCAGACATCAGTCAGCTAACTTCTTTACTTTGAAGTAGCCCGTGAGACAAAAGCTGAAATATTGGTACTGCTCTATCATTCAGCTGACAGTATTGTTTACGTTGTTTATAAATGTGCTGTTTTCAGTATGATTATCAACGCATAAACGAAAAATTCAATCTTCGAATATGCAGGTTATATAAACGAACGCGTGTTCTTTTGTTATTCGCTTAATAGAAGACCACGTTTTCTTTTGCAGGTCAAAACCAGGTTGGCGAAGATTGTGGTTCTTGATTTGTTGTTTGTTTGGAGCGATTTTGTATTCCTTAATTTTCACTAGGTTTCTTTGGCTTGTAGTACTTCGTGATTCCGCAGAACTAAAACTTCAATGTTCCTGTAATCGTTTCGTATCACGTGGTTAAATTATATATCCACTTTTCGGGGTGCTTCTTGAAAGTGAATGCGAGATGCTGATAGACGCGACATTATAAATGAGAAAGTTTGTTTGGATGAAAAGGATTAGTGGTAAAAATATGACGAATAGGAAGCTATGCAGTTAATAAATGACAGTGAAATGAGGAGTAACTATAGGAGAAGTAGTAAAAATTGAGAAATTGTGAGGATGGTATTAACAAGTCAGGAAATAAAGGATTGTGAATGTGATGAGTGGGAGAAATAATTAAATGGATGACAGAATTTTGCATGTATGACTAGCTTAAAATTGAGTCTTAGAGGGAGGATATTGTTGAGTGGCGTGCTCTGTGAATGACAACAGTTTAGGTAAGGATGAGATGCAGTAAGAATTAAGGCAAGCTAGAGGCTATGGTAAAGTAGTCAGTGAGGTAGTGTTTAAAGGAAAGCGAATGCAAGAGCAAGTCTGACGTAGTCAGCAGTGACAGAAACAAATATTAAGAGAGAGAGATAGCGAGAGATTGTATTTATGCAAAGGAAGACTGAGAGGGTAGATAAAGGTGAGTGTGAAAGTTGCCAAGTGTATAAGTAGAATAAAGTATGCAAATGGGAGTGTCAGTAAAAGAATGGAAACAAGATAGAGAGTCAGACAGTGGGAATAAATAAAGTGAGTTTGAAGCAGCACGAGAAGATGTTGTTGAAAGTGAGTTGCAATATGGATGAAATTGTGTCATAGTCACTGGCAAAAAGGCCATGTGATTTGGAGAAAGAGAGGGTGAATATACGCGAGAAATGGGGTGAAAATGAAGCAAGTAAATGGCAAGGAAAGTTAATGTGACAAAAAAAGGGAAATAAGGGTGAGCGTTAAATTATGAGTAAAAGAACTGATAAATTATGAAGGAGAATATACATGATTGGAAGAAAAGAGGAGTGAGAGAAGTGAATAGAACTGAAGTATACAAGGAAGAGGAAAAACATCTTAATTTAGCTAATGTCTCCAGTGTAAAAGTTGTGTTATTTGCAAGCATACATTGCAGCGCCTGCGGATAAAACGCCAAGTACCGGCAAAGATCAGATTAGGGTCGGAGTTTCTGTGGTGATCACATGTTAGGTTGCCTGTTACAGTGAATCTGAACTGTCCGTTCAAGGATTACGTCCTGGGGTTTTATTCATATCGGTTCATCAGTGCTTCGCTATTGAGTATGAGTCAGTCATTCCGTTGTAGACGTTTTAACTTAGAATATGCATTGCCTTTTTTATAAACTTTTGTCAGCTTGCAGTACTATTTATAAACGTATTTCTTGCCTTGGAGAACTCCTGGTAGAGAGTCATGTATAACCATATATTGTTTGTGTACTCTGCGAGGTATCTGATTGATTTTCTTGTGAATTATTTTGTGTTTTATTTGTTGTGTTCTTCTGAAGTCTGGTCTAACTCAATATTTTAGAACTACGTTTCCTGCTGTCTGTTTGAATCACAATCTGGTCGTTTATACTGAACTAGTTTAGCGATATCTGTCGTCTGCGTTGTTACTAAATGTGGTTGCTCTTGCTCACTGAACCATGTAGAAATTCCGATGGCGACAAACAGCTTTGAACAGGTGCGAGAGGCAATATACTGTAAGATGTACGGTGGCCAGTGGGATGATGCCCTATACTGGTGCGAAAAACTTATGTCGTTACGCGTGACCACCGCCGAAGACGTGGTCTGCTACTGTCTCTGTCTGTTGTTTTCCAAGCAGTACAATCTTTTGCTGTCGTACATGGAACGCAATGGATTGGTCAGTTGCCATCGGTTGTTTCGGCTATGGGCAGCAAAGTGTCTGCTGGCGTTACGCCGATACGCGGACGTCGTTCAGTTGTTCGACGGCCAGTGCACCCCGACCGCTATATCTTTGCCCAATGTCCGCACGAGCGACTTCGACGGGTACGGCGACCAGTGGAAGGTGGACAGTGGCCTCCTGCTTGCGCTTGGCAAAGCGCACGAGGAGCTGAATGCCCGTGACCAGGCCGCCGAAGCCTATCGACAGTGTCTGTTCATTAATCCATTCTGCGCGGAAGCGTTCGGCCTTCTACTCGATCATCACCTGCTGAGCGTGAAGGAAATGTGCCAGGTTGTACGGCTTATTTTCGCGCAAAAGGCCGTCAAGTCGCGGTCACGGTCACCTTCGCCCTACTCGAACAACGACGTTAATGCGCTGGGCTCGTCCTCGGTAGGAAGCGCTGCAGCCTCCGCGAACAGCTGCGAAATCGCGGAGACGGTTTACAAGCTGAAGCTTGGTCAACTGAACGAGAGCGATTTGACCGGACCGTTGTCACCCCTCAGACATGGCTTCCATTTCCAGCTGATCACCGCTAAAAGGCTGTATTCCCAAGGCAAATACCGCGAAGCTTTGAAAATCACGAATGACATGTTGATACGCGACGAGTATCGCAAGGACTGTTACCTGCTTCATATCAATTTGCTGACGTCACTTAGTATGGCTAAAGACCTCT